GAACCACTGGATGTTTGAAAAGTGATTGTGGATAAAACATACAAAAACATATATATATATGTATATAAGATTGTGGACAATAACCACGAATAACCCACATAACCCATAAAACAACATATAACCCATATAACCAAGTATAAACGTGACATTTCTCATTTTCTCGTTGTTTCCCCCTGTTTGGTTACCCGTTGTGTTACCCCGTTGTTTTGTCCCGGTGTGAATCCCATCGTGTTGCACCGTCCCTGCCGGGTCGAAGTCCTCGAGCCATAAATCATGAAAAGTCTAGTATTTGAAACACAAAATACAGAAACAATAGAAGATTATCCATTTTATACACCGAAATGTGGGGTCAACATATATGGAAGACGTTCCATTTCATACAAGGGGAATTTCACAAACACCTATGTTGTTTATAAAATGGATCGTTCTGGTATGTTAACGTGTCCGAACATAAACAACAATTTTATCTTAAAATATCTTAAGATACCTTAAAATGACCCCCTCAAAAAACAACCAATTCCATAATATACAAGTCAAATTTTCTTGGTTTCAAGAGTTCATTTTTTGGCCACTTCCATAACATACTGGCGAAGCATTTCTTTGCATATCCGGCCTGCTAGGTAGTACAATGGTGGTATTCCATAATATATAAGCCCAAAAAAGGATCCATTCTATACAAATATACCTGTACCCAACCATTACATAAACCAGGTTTTTATGGAATGGTGGGGCACGGGTTCCTACCCATCAATCAAGGGGGATCAATTTTGTTTTTTGCATGAAAAAATTCACCTCGAAAGAGTTGTGTCCCTATAGGCATGTTCAGCTTCACACAGTACGTCCACTTGTCGCGTTGAAGACTGACGCGCGCGCGTGAAATTTTGGGTCTTCTCTTCTATAGCAATGCTGGAGGTGTAAAATAACGTGAGCATTTTCCACTCAACAATTTTGTTTTTTGCATGAAAAAATTCACCTCGAAAGAGTTGTGTCCCTATAGGCATGTTCAGCTTCACACAGTACGTCCACTTGTCGCGTTGAAGACTGACGCGTGCGGGTGAAATTTTGGGTCTTCTCTTCTATAGCAATGCTGAAGGTGTAAAATAACGCAAAACCAGGACAAAAGTTTTTCCTCTTGACTAGCTACTCCAACCCACTCCCCTTAGACTCCTGACAGGTTGCATATGGATGACATCGCGGATCGCGGATCAGCTGGTTTGCTTTAAAAGAATTTTAATTTATTCCGACTTAAAATACGATCCACCGCGCAGGCCACGCGAAATGAGGATACTTGATCCGCGGCTGCGGATAATGATATTAATAAGATGCCAAACGGGAAAAGACTTTCTTCCTCCTGATGAGCATTTTCCACTCAACAATTTTGATCCCCCTTGACTGTACCTGTATGGAATGGAAGAACCCATGCCCCGTATGAAATGGAAAAACCAACATCATTTCATACACGGCCCATCTTGGAAAACGGGGCAAAAAACCCTTAAATTTTGGTGCCATGTTGCACCCTCCATTTCATACAAAACGATGGTCATTCCATTACATACAGCTGCATTTTTCTTTGGAATCATTAGTCCCAAAATCGGCATTTCCATAATATAAATGTTGTTTGCTATTTTTTGGAAGGTTCCAGTTTGAACACTTACGGAAACTTGGAGATCTGTTAATCAAATGGAAGTTTCTTTCAGCGATCGATGTCTTGAAAATGAACCACTGGATGTTTGAAAAGTGATTGTGGATAAAACATACAAAAACATATATATATATGTATATAAGATTGTGGACAATAACCACGAATAACCCACATAACCCATAAAACAACATATAACCCATATAACCAAGTATAAACGTGACATTTCTCATTTTCTCGTTGTTTCCCCCTGTTTGGTTACCCGTTGTGTTACCCCGTTGTTTTGTCCCGGTGTGAATCCCATCGTGTTGCACCGTCCCTGCCGGGTCGAAGTCCTCGAGCCATAAATCATGAAAAGTCTAGTATTTGAAACACAAAATACAGAAACAATAGAAGATTATCCATTTTATACACCGAAATGTGGGGTCAACATATATGGAAGACGTTCCATTTCATACAAGGGGAATTTCACAAACACCTATGTTGTTTATAAAATGGATCGTTCTGGTATGTTAACGTGTCCGAACATAAACAATAATTTTATCTTAAAATATCTTAAGATACCTTAAAATGACCCCCTCAAAAAACAACCAATTCCATAATATACAAGTCAAATTTTCTTGGTTTCAAGAGTTCATTTTTTGGCCACTTCCATAACATACTGGCGAAGCATTTCTTTGCATATCCGGCCTGCTAGGTAGTACAATGGTGGTATTCCATAATATATAAACCCAAAAAAGGATCCATTCTATACAAATATACCTGTACCCAACCATTACATAAACCAGGTTTTTATGGAATGGTGGGGCACGGGTTCCTACCCATCAATCAAGGGGGATCAATTTTGTTTTTTGCATGAAAAAATTCACCTCGAAAGAGTTGTGTCCCTATAGGCATGTTCAGCTTCACACAGTACGTCCACTTGTCGCGTTGAAGACTGACGCGCGCGCGTGAAATTTTGGGTCTTCTCTTCTATAGCAATGCTGAAGGTGTAAAATAGCGCAAAACCAGGACAAAAGTTTTTCCTCTTGACTAGCTACTCCAACCCACTCCCCTTAGACTCCTGACAGGTTGCATATGGATGACATCGCGGATCGCGGATCAGCTGGTTTGCTTTAAAAGAATTTTAATTTATTCCGACTTAAAATACGATCCACCGCGCAGGCCACGCGAAATGAGGATACTTGATCCGCGGCTGCGGATGATGATATTCATAAGATGCCAAACGGGAAAAGACTTTCTTCCTCCTGATGTATGGGTATCCAGATATACATGTGCATATTCATCTGTGTATCCACTAAAATCTTGTCTGATGTCTCCAGCTGTCCTATCCAGGTCGCCATCCTTTTCCAAGCTATTCTGCGAGACGTCCTCCGGTTTTGAACTTGACAACATCAAAAATGCAGCAATTCTGCGAGACTTCCTCAATGTTTGAACTTGACAACGTCAAAAACGAAGCAATTCTGCGAGACTTCTTCATTTTTCAAAGTTGACAACATCAAAAACGAAGCAACTCTGCGAGACGTCCTTCAAAAATGGAAAGTTGCGCGCAGCGCTGACGGCCTCGTACCAATGCGTTTTGCGATGTTTCCAATCCATTTGTCTAAACTACTGCGCCTGCCACGAAAAAGTGATGCCAGGTCATACGAAGTGCTGCACCTGTCACGCAAAATCATCTCAGCAAACCCTAAATGCAACCCCTCTCAGGAAATCAGCGCCCGGACCTCCTAACAGCTCTGATGAACATGTCTCTTGTACTGCGCCTGCCACAGAGAATGCATCTTTGCATATCTTCGCAGATCCTCTTCAAATGTCCCACGCCCGCCATCGTTTTTAGAAATGCTACAAAAATCTACAAAACCCTCACGTTCTGCTCACTTTTGACAAGGTGCATAATCCCTTGCGCCTGCCACGCGAAACGACACCTGAACGTCCAAAAGTGGCGCGAACATGTTGTGCTTTTAACATTTTGACTTCGAAATGTGCTTCGCGCCACAACGGCGTGCACTTTTTCGACATCGCAACTTCCAAAAGTGCTCCGAACATGTGGTGCTTTGTACATTTTCACTTCGAAATGTGCTTCGCGCCACAACGGCATGCACTTTTTAGACATCGCAACTTCCAAAAGTGGTCCGAACGTGAGGTGTTTTTAGCTTTTTCACTTGCAAATGTGCTTCGCGCCGCAACGGCGTGCACTTTTTCAACATCGCAAACTTCCAAAAGTGCTCCGAACATGTGGTGTTTTGTGCATTTTGACTTGGAAATGTGCTTCGCGCCACAACGGCGTGCAATTTTTCATCTCTCATCTGGCCGCTTTAGCGAGCCTACTTTTCGACCCTCTGGAGCCACAAATCATTGGAAAACGCAGTGTTTCGCGACTTTCCTACCTTTTCGCGCACCTGCATCTTCTTTCTTCTGACTCTTTCTCTTCTCTGATCTTTTCTCTTCTGCTCTTCTCTCTTCTACTCTTCTCTTTAATCTGACTCTTCCCATCTCTGCTTTTCATCTGTCCATATTGTCGGAAGTTTGACTTCTAAACTTCCGTCGATAATTCACAAAAACAAAAATAATACATAATAAAATCACTATTTCTAAGCAAAAAACAAATTAATGATAAACAATAAGTAATATTTTATTTTTCTTTCTTTGTTAATACTTGTAAATATTTATCTTGAAAAAAATATAATATTATATTATATTATATATATTATGATAAAATATAATATAATACAATATAATATAATATAATATAATATAACATAATATAATATATAATATAATATAATATAATATATTATAATATAATATATTATAATATAATATAATATATATATATATATATTATATTCAAAAAAACAAATAAATAAAAATAAATTAAAGAAAACAAAAGAGATTTTAAAAATAAAACATAAATAATCAATAATAAGTAATAGAAGAATAATGACAACAATAATATTGAATAAATATTAAGCATATATTTTCTCTAAAAAAATATTCAATTTATATGGAGTATTTATTGTTAAAATCAATCAGATATGGTTAGAAAAATAATGTTAGATTAAAGACAATTAATTTAAATTGTCGTTAAATAGTTCAAATATTTCATGATATTTTATTTTCAGTTTTTTAATAGTTTTCTATGATTTATTTAAATGTTTATTGGTAATATATTTATTTTGATCTAATTCGATTCAAACTATATATGTATTTTAGAGTTTTATTGTTTTGAATAGGATGTTATATCAGAAATCAGAAATAAATAAGATAGTTCTAATATTTTCTGAAAAATATTTATTAATTGCAAAATGCCATTTTATTTATGGTAAGATTCTTGATATATATATATATATATATTTATTTATTTATTTTATTTGATCGATATTTTATCGTCGTCGCAATATTTGTTTATTTCATCTGGAGTGATCCTCAGGATATGGTCGAAATATAGTATGTTCTATACCCAGAAAAATATAATAAAGGTTATATATCCAATAATTGTCCCTTGCAGAATTCGATTGTAATTAGTTCATATGCACCTCGAAGTCGCAGTGCCAAATCGATAAACAAAGGAAGTTGTGGAAAATCGTCGGTATGAACCCTCCAGAAAATCCATACCTAAACCATCCAAGATCATTATCCGTATGTGTTTTGATGTATTTCCGTTGACATAGCCCTTCCAAAAAACGCTGCGAATGTGGTAACCCTACACAGAAGCGTGTGACTGTCTGGTAATACGTACATGGCTCCTTCCTACATTCCAAAATGTTCAAAAGTGTGAAATCAACAAAGCCGACTTGGCAACTGCTGACTCCAGTTGGACTATCCCAAAAGTTGCTTGAAAAGGAATCAGAAAAGAGCTTTGACTCACAATCATCATTCGAAAACTGGTTTTCATCCTGAAGAATGACCTGCATTTGTGGGCCCCTGGCCAAAAACACAAACAGAGCTGGTAGACTCTATTGATATTGCTGGTTTATTAGCTATCATTGGTTTATATCCCATGTTTGAAACTCATCTGTTATTACACATAAAAATCTGCAATGTTTTCCCGTCTTTATCCCACGTTTAAAGACAACACCTGGCCCCAACTTCATAGCCCCGGTGTCACATCCATCTCCAGGAGATCATGGCACGCTTCGGCGTTGAGCGGCACCTTTTTCTCAAGGCCCCCAGCTGGGACTCTCCACCAAAAAATCGCGATTTTGTCAGGATTTACCTAGCAAAGATGGCTATTTCGTAGCAGGTTACATAGCACAAATGGAAGTTTGCTCATGGTTTTAGGGAATATATCGAACTTGTTGATTGGGTTTATAAGCCAACATAGACCTGGGGGGCAGGGATCCATCCAGCCCTTCTAGGTGTTCATCCCTTCCCCTGATCCAATATAGAGTTCCTCCATTTTTGGGACACCCGACATGAACCGATCCAATTATCAGGCTTTGTTTGGGGGGCATGTAGTAGCGGGATTCAAACATAACAATAGGTTGTGTAATGGATTGGCGAATCGGCGAATGGGAAAAATGTTGTTTTAAGAGTTTTACCCCCAAATCGAAAGGTTTCCCTCCGGGATGAAAACAACCAACGGGGTGCTGTTAGTCCTGTTTGCTTTCATTGGGAGTCCATTTGATAGCAAATAGCATCCCATTTTTGGCGTGACCCCCTGGCTAGTCAGACAGTGTGTGTGTGTGTGAATCCGGGTTGGACATTCATGTGGGTGTGTGCGCGTGTGGAAACATGGTATTCCCCAAAAATATAACTTTGCTAGGCAAGATGACGATAAACCACCGAATTTGAAGGGGGTGCCGTATTTCAGACAAACCTTGACGGAGGGAAAAGGTCAACCCGTGATAGAATTTCCCAGAAAAGAATAGAGAAGAATCCTCGTTTGCTGCTACTGTTGAAGTTCACCCTACTGAATCAATCGGGGTCTAGCATGGTTGTCATTCAAGCATGGCTCAAAAATGCAGGATCAATCAGCAACCAAACCTTAGTCCTTGTTGCCTCATCTCCGATCAACCACTGCAAGACATGGATGTATAGCAACCAAATTTAACCCAGCATACAACCCCAATAGCAAAGTTTCGCGTTTCCTTTGACGCAAATTTGGTATTGAGAGTGAGCCAGCTTAGTCAAGAAAATACCATTCCTTCAATACCTCCAAGACACCACCGGAACAGTGCCGAGACACCACACCCCCAAACACCACCAAACCATGAGCAAAACGCCCCAAAACATCACCGAACACCGTCAAGGCACTACGGACACACCACCAAAGTGCCACAAGACACCAACAAGCACCAAAACATAATTAAGAGCCCACCGAGACACCAGCAGGACACACACCACCAATTCCCGAAAGGACCCGCAAAGAGTTTTTCCCAAAAAGTTGCTGCCGGCATACTTTGTCATTCCCATCACCACCATCACATCACCATCATCACAACACCATCATCCTCATCATCATCGCCACCATCATCATCATCGTCACCATCATCATCATCATCATCATCTTCATCATCATCACTGGTTGATCGTTTCAATGCTTCTCAACAATATGAAGGTGAATGGGTCCTAGAGGAATCCCACACCCCATGCTAATTGGGAACATAAAACATCATTAAACAAATTTCAGCCCACCAAGCAGATCACTCGTGTAAAGGTATTTGTGTCCTGAAGCACCGGTGTGCAAAAGCATCTCTGCGTTGAAAGCATCTGCATGTAAGAGCACCTGCGTGTAGAAGCATCCCTTTGTAAAATCATCCCTCTGTGTAAAACTATCTCTGTGTAAAAGCGTGTGTAAAAGCATCTCTCTGCAAAAGCGTGATTTGTGTGTAAACGTACAAGTGAGACTGGATTGAAGCCTGGCTTGAACCCTCCCCTAAATTGTGTGTCCAGCCTCACCATGTAAAAGTTCCTCTGCCTAGAGGCGTCCTAGTCTAAAAGCACCTCTGTGTAAAGACATCTCTGCGTTAAAAGTACTTGTGCTAAAGCACCTCTTTGTAAAGTATCTGCGGGCTATCTGTGTTGAAAAAAACGCCTCTGCATAAATGTATTTCTGCGCAAAATTAACTCTCTGCGTAAGAGTTCTTGTGTGCGTGTGTGTGAAAGCTTCTGTGTGTAAAGGATACTCTGTCAAAAGAATCCCTGTGTAAAAGTGCTTCTGTGTAAAAGCATTCCTGTGTAAAAGCATCGCTGTGTAAAGGCATCTGTGTGTAGAAGCACCCGAGTGTCTGTGTGTAAAAGTTCCTCTGTGTAAAAACATACCTGTGTAAAGGCGCCTGTGTGTAAAGATATTTGTGTGTAAAAGGATCTCACGGTAAAAGCATCTGTATGTGCAAACGTCTGTGTAAAAGCGTGTCTTTGTGAAAAGCATCTCTGTGTAAAAGCAGGCCTTTGTATAAGCATCCCTCCCTCTGTGGAAAAGCATCTGTGTGCAACAGGTTGGTCTCTAAGCCGCAAAATATTTGCGCAAGATTGCTCGGTGCTTGCAGCGTTTCGCAGCTAGCGCCTGCGCATTGCATGGTATGATGCAACATCAGTTCATTGCGTGGACATTGCCACCGCGCAATATTTTCATGATGCTTGCAAGATTTGGAATCATATCTGCAAACTGCATTGTGATTTTACAGCGTTCGGAAGCAAACATTCTGCACGCTGTAGAATGCTTGCAGCATGTCGAAACCAAAACCATCCATCACTTGCACAGTATGTGCAGCATACTGGAGCAAAACTTAGCACAACGCATGGTGCTTGCAATATGCTGTAACTCTTTATCACTTGCAAGCCGCATGGCATTTGCAGCATATTGAAACAGACATCTGCAAGTTGGATGCTATTTTGCAGCTTTCTGAAGCTCAAGGCTGCAACTGGAATGCGATATTTGTAGCATGTGGAATTATCGTCTGCGCACTGCACATAATGACATGGTGTTTGCAGCGTGTTGCGGCTAAAATCTCCAAAATGCAGGGTGGCCGCCACATTTTTGAAACCAACACTTGTAAATTGCGGGACTTGCAGCTGTTTGAAAGTAACATGTGTAAATTGGAAGGTGCACGCAGTCTTCCTGTCGTCCTTCCTTCCTTCCCTCCCTCCCTCCTTCTTTCCGTTCCTCCTGTCAAACACTATTTCCTTCCTTCCTGTTTGCTTTTTGCTACAGTAATACTTTTTTTGATCGATTTGCGTGCGAGTCTCAGCGCAGCATGCAGCAAGTATGTCAACTCCTCTAGTGATGTGAGCAGCCCGCGGCCCTGGTTGCTGCATGGCATTAGGGAATGATTGCAATTTAAATTGTTTCGGTAGAAGCATCATAGTAAGCACTTTAATTCCAAACATACGTAAATATCCGCCCCGACGCCACCTTCAACCAAACTTGCAAACGCAATGTAATCGTCGTCGTCATTGTCGTCGTCGTCGTCGTCATCATCATCATCATCTTCATCATCATCAACCAATACCACCAACTCCATCGCCATCAAAATAACCACTCTCATCATCATCAACATCATCATCACCACCATCATCATCACCATCATCACCATCATCATCATCATCAGCAGCAGCAGCAGCAATCATGATCGTCAGCATGACAACCGAATGGAACCGTTGAAAAGTACTTGGCGCATGGTGTGACTTAGAGTTGACAACCCCGAGCTATCGCTATTGGAGAAAAAAGACATTATCTACCACTCCTGTAATCTTTTAATCACAGTCTATAATATTCTATAATGCAAACTGAGCGACTGAAGGGCCGGAAAATGACAAGCTGTGCTCCAAGTCCAGCAACTGCTTGTGGAAGCCAATATTCCTTGGCGAGGATGCCACGCGGAGGCGACCCAATTTGGTCCGAAGGGCATGCCATGAACTTCGCCGCATTCATTGAAGAGAAGAACACTGCAGGAAACCATCATGGACATTAGTTTCATGAGTTTCTAATAGCGACTAGTAAGATCTAGTAAGGTACAGATTGGGTTTCCGCAGTGGATTGTTTTCCCCAGATTTCGGTGGCATCTCGCCGCGCCAGGAGTCATCTCCACAAAACTGCGCACAGACTTCACTCGAGACAAGGCCTGGTGGAGATTGCACTTCTCCTGGGCCCAAAAAACACCAAGATGATCCTGCTGATCTTTGCAGTGGAGTTTTTGGAAATACCAAATGCCTACCAAATTGTACGAATGAAGAAATGGTTTGGGATGATAATGGTTTTGACATGTTTTGAATGCCTACCAAATTGTATGTCATTGGGTCAATGGGTATGCGGACTCTCTATCTCCCATACCACACGCGACGTACCTTCTGCATGAGATAGCCGATGACAAATCCGGCACTCCTGAGACATCCCCAAAATTCCCCAATGGTTCCTGGTTGGAGAAAAAAAAAACGAATCTCGACCAGTGAATGATACAGGCCCCTAACCAAGCAAGCAGATAATGGTTGAAGTCTAACTTGAGATATACCTGTACCCCAGAGCTGGATGTTGTGCAACATCAAAAAATATTCCCTTTGGCTCAATGTTTTTGATACATGCCGCCTATATGTGTGGGTTTGTCTGAAGTAGGCGACCCTAAAATCCAATGGTTGCTCGTCATTTTCCCCATTGAAATTGGCATGTAGGCGTTTAATCCCGCTTCGTTGGCAAACGCGGGTATATTTTGGCTCACATATTCATATTTACTAGTAATGATCTAGTAATGTAATCCGTCTATATTCTGGTTGCATCCTCAGTTATCTTTCTGTACGTTGACCTGGCCGTGGAAAATAACCAATTCATTTTGATCATCCAATCATCTTCCTATCAAAAGTTGGGATTGTTTGTTGCCATGTTGAATGAATGCAGGGATCCAGAGGGTAATTTTAAAATGGTTGGTTTCTTTGACATAATGATATCCAAAAGTTTCCAATTCATGTGCCCATCAGTATTGGTTTAGTTCAAATCCTCGATGAATACCCAAAAACGCACTTAAATCCCCATTGTTGATGCTTAGTTACACCATGTTAAACCATCAGTGCTCACAATTTTTCGTTGTGAAATACCAATTTTTAATGGAAAAATAATGTCACCGCGTTCAACCCACGTCCTGTTCTTCCCTTCGAAGCAATGCACCAGCACTGCGCAACATGCCGAATTCCGGCCCGCATCAATGAAGTCGAAGACTTCCGCAAAGTGCGACGCAACCTGAGTCAAAGTGTTCGGGTTTTCATGGAATGACCATGGGCAGATGCTGGCCAATACTAGCCTATTTACCAACATACCGGGTTCTTCGGCGCTCGTCAACGGTTGCACAGATTCTCCTCTCGGGTGACCCTGATGACCCCATCTTTGTTGGTGTCAAGCTTTTTCGACATCTCAACTTCCAAAAGTGGTCCGAACCCCTGGTGCTTTTAACATTTTGACTTGGAAATGTGCTTCGCGCCACAACGGCGTACACTTTTTCGACATCTCAACTTCCAAAAGTGGTCCGAAGCTGGTGTGTTTTACACATTTTGACTTGGAAATGTGCTTCGTGCCACAACGGCGTGCACTTTTTCGACATCTCAACTTCCAAAAGTGGTCCGAACGTGGTGTGCTTTGTACATTTTGACTTGGAAATGTGCTTCGCGCCACAACGGCGTGCACTTTTTCGACATCGCAACTTCCAAAAGTGGTCCGAGGCTGAGATGTTTTGTACATTTTGACTTGGAAATGTGCTTCGCGCCACAACGGCGTGCACTTTTTCATCTCTCGTCTGGCCAGATGGCTCCGCACCCGCCGCTTTAGCGAGCCTACTTTTCGACCCTCCGGAGCCTCAAATCATTGGAAAAACATGGAAAAACATAGTGTTTCGCGACTTTCCTACCTTTTCGCGCATCTGCATCTGCTTTCTTCTGACTCTTTCTCTTCTCTGATCTTCTCTCTTCTACTCTTCTCTTCTCTCTGGCTCTGCCCAGCTCTGCTTTTCATCTGTCCATATTGTCGGAAGTTTGACTTCTAAACTTCCTTTGATAATGTAATGTAATATATGTATGTATGAATATGCAGTAGATTCAGATGTATAATGATGTATATGTAATACTAATATACTAATATATACGATATTATTCGTGATGCATCATAGTATCTTGTCGTGGTTTTTGAACCCTTGTCGTGGTATGCGTTTCTATGTCGTGGTATGACCAAACGCTTTATTTCCCCAGTATTTTTTGGTGAAATTTACACTCAACCAGGATGAAAATGTATGGAAGTGTAATCAGCAAAGCCTGCTTCAACGAATGGATAAATGGCAGATTGATGAAATGAAGCATGGCCGTGGTCACGTTGAACTAGGATGACTTATTCGCAAAATGGCCCAGATCGTGTGGGTAGGTCCATGGGTCCTACATGTTGAGCACTGAAATCTCCTTTCGGATCAAGACAAACGGTAGGAATAGTTTCTCGTGGAAGATAGTGAAGCCACCCCCAAGCCCCCACGCTTTGCTCTCCAAGGTACAACATTTTTGCCAAGTGACATCAGTGCGGGGCGAATCTCTCAACGGGATGTGCAAACTTTTCAACGCCAGAGCACTACTGGGAGGACACTCCTGGCCGTGGCCCGAGAACCGGCTTGTGCTTTTCAAATACAAAACAGCAGACCCATTCATAGATACTGGCAGTAAATGTAAGAAGCGAGTAGAAACTCTTTGGAGAAAACGCTTCTTCACAAGATGTTTGGTTGAGGATATTGAGGGGGTCTCTTCAGAAGTGAAAGCTCGCTGTGCCGCTGCATTTTTTCCCAAGCTCCTCGGCCACACTGACCAAGTGCCTCTGCCAGGTGAGTGGTTGAGATGAAACTCGGAATATTTCTGCGGCAACAAAAAATGGACAGCCTAACTGCATCTCATTGCGTTGGATTCTTGGGCATTAGGGGGTCAACACGTTAGACCCAGCCAAGGGGCGTAATGCGGTGTTTCTTCAGCCACGCGGCATCTTTGGCCTTCGAAGCTGTGGCCCTGCCCCTGGCCCGTCCCAGTCTTTTTTTGGTTTTGTCTCGAAAATATGCCAGAAAAACATAGAAAAACACATTTTCTTTCCTGGAGATGTTTCCTTTTTCGTATGCTTGCCATATGAAGATAAGATCCGTGGAAGCTTTTTGGTGCCTCGTAGGAACTGGTCAAAAACAGCTCAGGCAAGATCTGAGTACCAAACCTGGGAGCGTAAATCACGTTGCGTTGAGAATTTGACGACCATGTGTTTTTTCTACAAAAAATAGGTGAAAATTGGACCAATTTTATATCCTTTTGAATATGATTTTCAGACTTTTTTCGCTTCACCGGTTGTCATTGGATCACGGTGGCTGACGTCATGGTGTCCCAGCTCGATTCATCGCCATCATGAAAAATCACGCTGTAAAAAAGGGACCATCCAGCGGCTGGAACCAGTGTCAAACGCCATCTTTCCGGAAGCTGTTGTTTTGGATATGTTGTTTGGATAGGTAATTATATGACAATATATGACAGAAATATGCCGAGCCGCTGTATTAAAACACATGTTACAATAATTCAAAGTCAGCCCAACGGGTTCTAACCCCTTCAAGCTTTGCTGGAGGTCTGGCACTCTCCACAAATCAGCACTTTTGTACCCCATGAAACGACCCCTTGGACCTCAAGGGGTCGTTTCATTCATCCTAGATTAACATGGTGACATCACCATGTACCCTCTGGTAATTTAACATAGCTATTGAAAATGATCATTTGTAGTGGATTTTCCCATTAAAAATGGTGATTTTCCATAGTTATGTTAGTTTACTAAGCCCGAAAGGCCGAAACTCGGGCCCGGCTATACCAGTCACGCATTCCACACCCTTCCAACATTGGAAGGTAAAAATCTGGCAACGATCGATACTGTTCCTCGCTGAGTCTTGCCATGGCTGGATCCACTGGAGAGGTGATTTTTTGGCGGAAAATTCACAATTGGGGAAGTGTGGACCAATATTTTTTGGGATGTGTTTGTTGCAGTTGATTGTGGTATCGAACAAACCATGATATAGGAACGTTGAGGGATACTGTATCCTATGGATCATGAGATGCCATATAATTCATATGGAAGTGAGAGTTTCATGATATCGATATGGGGATGTAACAGAAATCTATCATCAACAGTATATGAATTGGGTTTCTCTGAAGATTGTGGTTTTACAACCAAATTGTGGCAATATTAATGGGGGAAAAAGGTGATGAACCATGGGACTTGGGGGTACCCAAGTTCAGATACGAATCATCAAATGTCATATAATTATATATATACATATATATATATATCTTCTGAAATGCCTAAACCTCAATTCATAGTACCGAAGCATCAATCATGCTTGCAATAAAGATGTCCAGATCATTGTGCTCCCTTTCCTTTTTGAAGGGATTGACAAAAGCTGGAATATGGCTTCTGTCTGGTTTCTTGAAGTTGGAAGCTTCTGGACGCAAGTCAGCTGAACAAGACACGGACACAAAATGATAAGTTGAAATCCAACGGCTTTGGCTCCGCTGAGAGTATTTCTGAGCATCAACTGTTTCCAGGATTTGAGATATAGGTATAGTTAGTATAAAAGCCCTATTGTTGCAGATATTGATATGACCATTCACCATGGGAAAATCACCCATCTCCCATTCCGTCCCCGAGTTCACCATCCCCAAAAAGTCTGGAAAAAATACACCACCACCATAGAGTCTTATAGGTGAGCTATCACAGCAAACCACTTCACAGCAAGCTGGCAATTTTGCATAGACCTCCTGGATCTGTCAGATCCGGGAGTTTTCCGCATCGTACAAAAACCGATGCGGTGAAACGCTCCGAAACTTGCAGACGCTTCTTTAAGAAGTGTCTGCAGCATGTTCCCACGGATCCAGCAAACATCTTGAGGACTGAACCATCCGATGGGGTGAATTTGCCCATGAAAAGCACCAAACCAGCGACGCAGCTCCGAAAATGACGAATCTCAAACACCCAGCAATTGTTGTGAATGTTATTCTGTTGAGAATCAGCCAAAAATCAACAAATCAAGCTACTAATCATGTTATTCGCCAAACCAAACATTATCGAAAATTTTCCCAGAAACCTTGCCCGTCTCCATGGTTGACTCCGCCGTTTCTCTCCAGGATCGCTGGAACCGGAAGGCAACGGAACCCCATTGGCGAAACGAGGACACCTCGACTCTGTCGAGGCATCAGAAGAAACCTTGGACCCCGACCCAATCTCTATATGTGTTCCAAATGGAATATTTAAGCTTCGATCTTGGTGCTTGATATTGCCGACATTTGCCGACTATCTATCTTAGAACTTCAAAAGTTCATGTGGATTTTGTAACATCTTGTAACATCTTGCTGTGATCTCTTGTGACGGTCTATCCGAGTCTATCTGTATACTTGACATTGACATCTTTCGAGCGGAAATCTCCAAGGTTTGCCCAAAAAAAAAAGATCGACCTGATCGACCTCCGTCTCAGAAGCAGGTGACCACCGTAAATGAAGGCCTCAGCAATGGGTCACCTGTCAAGTCACCCCATTTTGGGATGACTCCCGAAGATTCACCAGGTGATGTCCGAGTGGGAACATATCTGGTTGGTGGTTGACCTACCCCTCTGAAAAATATGAAAATCAGTTGGGATGATGACATTCCCAAGATATGGAAAGTCATAAAATTCCATGGTTCCAAACCACCAACCAGTCATGGTACTTCATGGTACTTGGGCAATTCGTTGAAGATGTCATTGCACCAATTGCACCAAGCGAAGGAAGATACATGATACATCAAACCAGGACATGGTAAATGACATGAAATCCCCCCATGGATTTCTGCTTGGCACGACACAAGTTTTTTGTGAACGAGCTCCCATCCGCCCCTCGTCCAAGGCATCCAAGGCATCCAAGGCCCAAACCCAGGAGCCGTATCCTTGTCCGACCTCGGATGGTTGGACCACGCAACAAGTGTTTCTTAAAATGGATCGCCAAAACCCTAGGTTTCAATATTAAAGTGGTTTAATGACTTGGATGATTTGGGGGTACATCTCGCTTCTGCTTTTTTAAGTGACTCTGAGATGATTGACAGGCTTTTCGTTTAAAGTTCGCAACCCGACAAACAGATCTTCCGAAATTCTCTGAACCTTTGCCTCACCATTCTCACCATCCAATTTCAGAATACTTTAGATATGTTGATTGCATACACATCAAGTTTGCATCATGTAAATTTGGCATTCTTTTGGTCCCATTCCCAATTACAGTATATAGTTGAATCCCCATCCAATGTTTATTTTTTCTTCCATGCATTCTTCTTGTTCGGAATACCCACGTCTAGCCCATACCTAGCAATCATGTTCTTTTGGGAAAATTGAGGGGCCTGTTTGGCATTCTATCTACATCTATCTACTATCATTTATATATACCTCTTGGTCTTGTTCGTTGTTCAATGGGGGTTAGCGCCCTATTGCTCAGCAAGACAGTACTAACAATATCTAGCTTTGTTAGAGAGCCCGGGTTATGTCTAAAGTCATTTATACATATAACCTGGGGCTTGGCCCCCTTGGCTGCACTGGTCGAACTCTCAGATTACGCCACCCGATTTTGTGTTTTTGTTTAATGCAATTCTGATCATCCTAGGGCGGAAAATCACAGAAACCTTGGGGTTGGTTTGTCCAAAAACGTGTTTTTCTTCCCAGATGCATTTGGGGGAACATGGAGAAAATGTATGGAAAATGTCGTTTCAAATCATAATCTTCCTGTGGAATATGTGTCACAACTTAGGCCAACGACCTCGGCGGCTTCCGCCGACCCTGAAAGGAGAATGAGGGACCTCAGTTAAAAGCTTGGAGGCTTCAATGATCCGTGCGAGAAATCACCAGTGAAAACTGTGAATTAGATACCTAGCTAGTTGGTGGTTTCAACCCCCATATCCCCAAATATCCCTCTAATGGATGATTATTCCCTCTAATATTGGATGGTTAATGGATGGTTATTCCCTCTAATGGATGGTTTCAACCCCCCTGAAAAATATGAGTTCGTCAGATTGGATCATCATCCCAACTATTGGGGAAAATAAAAAATGTTCCAAACCACCAACCAGTAGTTAGTTTGTTAACCTGCTAATGGGATTGATCAATCAGTCAGTCAGCTTGTTCAGTCACAGTTCGGGACGTAGTTCTGTATTATAGATCGATCGTCGTAGTTATAGTGATAAAATCTGCACAAGCCACAAGATAACTGCCATACCTATCAGATCCTATCAAGGCAGATCATTTCCAAGGTTGAAGCCAACAGGCGAACTTGAAAAAAAGTAGTTGGTTTCAAGCAAAATCAAAGTGACGCTTCAAAAAGTATACCGACCCTGGGCATGGGATCCGAATCTGAACGCTAACTCTAGCATTTTTCTGCCAATATCAACATTGAGAATCCGCAAACTGCCAGCAGTCGGGTCCCCGCACTGATTCGGGTGGTGACATTGCCACCAAGTTCCTTCATCAGCGGGTAGTGCCCTGGCCTTGGTTTTGATGGTGTTTTTTTGAGCAAATCTGCACCAAACCCATGGGATTTTCGACCCCAAAATGTCGAGGAAAAAACCTGAAATCTTCCTTGAAACCCAATTCTCGGAGTTGTGGGGGGCAATGTGCACCCCTCCCCAGTTTCGGAAAAATTATTGGTATGATCTGTGAGATACTCCATCCTTTGAAAAATCGATTGCCACTCAGGGCACATGTCCGACTATCCTTGGAGACCGTGAAAGAATAGCTTACTGGTGCTAAACGCAGGGAATTTTCAGGAATGATCCACAATAATCAATAATCATCCCAGCAACCCCTAGTCCCATCCATTCCCATCCATTCCCTACGTAAAACGCACCAGTAATATGTTGGGCTCAAAATGATCAGCCCTCCTGGCAGCCTCCTGGGGACCCAACCCTGGCGCACCATTGGATGGCTTCATTAGCGCCTTTTCCCTGGGCGCCCAGATTTCGAGTCGTATCCCTTCGCGCGCTGTACAAACTGCGCTGCTTGGGGTTTGTTAGACAAACCATGATATACCCTCTGGTAAACTAACATAGCCATGGAAAATCACCATGTTTAATGGGAAAATCCACTATAACTGGCCATTTTCAATAGCTATGTTAAATTACCGGAGGGTATCGGGATACCAACCGTGTTTCAAACTCCTGGTATTTGTCACCAACAAAAAATGTATATTGGGTTTGTCCAAAAATGCTGGATTTACCAAAAAGCATATTTGGATATGTCGAATCGTGATAATTAAGATATATCATTTTACTTGGAGGCACTCTATTTCATACAAGACCAAAACATATTAACATATTACATAGAAGATGAAGACACTATCCTCCGTGAATGCAAGCTGGCCATGTGGAATTCTATTTTCTGGTTTGTTCAGAAAAAACATCGCCAATCATAGATACTCTCTGGGAATCTAATCTGGCTAGCTGGGTAGGTCTCGTCTACCAGAATGAGAATATCAATCCTCAAACAACTCACACATTGCCGAGCTTCATGCTTCAATTCTCCTCTATTTGCCCCTTGAAACCCAACTTTGAAGACTCTTTTGCTGGTTCAAATTTAGGTTTGTTGGTCGGTGTCACCCCTTTTGTGCTGGTTCAACCCTTCTTCCTGTATGTTCAAGTTGGCTCAAGCCTCCCCATTTCTTATTAGGTTTATCAAGACCCATGTTCTCTGGCTCAACCATATGCGACCACATCAAATCCATTCAACTCCTATATGTTCCTCTTGAATCTGAAACATAGGTGACATGGGAAATGGTCAATATATCCCATTTCAATTTTCTCCATAACAAGATCCATGGAGTTTGAACTCACAACAGTCGTTGCACCGCGGCACCTGGATTCTGAACCAAAGAACGGCACAGGCTGGGTCTTGTAGACCTGGAGTTCAGCAATAAGTGAGTGGGGATTCAACCATCAACAAGTGTGTCAAACAAATAATCATCAAAGATATGCCATGGGTATGATTGAAAACTCGTGGAATGAGGAATTCGAGAAACATCCCATAAAATCCTTGATTTTCCCGGCGTTTTCCCCATTTTTGGGACCAACCTTCACTAATTACGAAACCCGGGGCCTGGGTCATGTTCAGCTTGTAGGCGCCCGGGTCGGGACTCTTGCCAGTGCCCTCCTTTCCTGGGAAGATTTGTCGGAGGGTAGCCTCTCGAAATGGCTGGATGTGGGTATGGATCAATACCTATAAAAATACCATTTTTAGTGGGATGAACATCCATAAATCCCAGCTATTATGATGTGAACTACAGGGGTACTATTGGTTTTGACACACTGCCATGTTGATCCCCAAGTAGCACCATGGTGTCGTCCATCTGCGTCAGGTTTGCACTTCGGTTTTTGTATAGGTCAAATAGGTGCTAAAAATGAGCAATTCTGAGGGTCCATTGGTACCCCGTAGATGTGCCCTTTGTATGCCTTTGTATGTGTTCTAGCCAAACTCCATGTGAAGAGTATGTCAAAGAAAGGAGTTCTTTGCACCTTTGACATACTCAGCACCTCCCCTCTCTCCCAGCCTTCTGGTTTCCCTGCGAAGTAAACTGCCTCGTCGAGAAATCCCATTGCTACAGTAAGGAACTGGGTTGAAATGATTGTGAATGCCCGGCACGATTTTTCTGGGGGGAGGTATTTCTTATTCCTTTATACGTGTATACATACATACATATGCATATATATATATATGTATAGAGGTATTCATACATTGACGTCCTCAACATGGGGTATATGTGTTTATAACCTGGTTCTTTCCAAGACAAGTCCAACCCCACAGTCCTGCCTTTGTGTTCAGGCTGCTCCGCAAGGGGTAGTTCCCAGGCCTTGAACAAATTGTCGTGAGGCTATGGGTTCTGGGTACCCCAAACCAATTGGTTCCAGTGAAAAGTACATCTAGAATAGTATGGAACCACATAGTTGCAGGATGTGATACGGGATATATACATACACACACCATATATATATATGGATATATATATATATATGGATATATCCCAACTTATGGAGGTTATCATCATGGTTATACCGATAAATGACCAACATCTCCAGAGGACGGGCCCCGGGCGGAGGCCCATCGGTTTCCTGACGTCGACCAACATCGGGATGTCATCAACCCGACGGTGAAACCCCAAACTTGGGACCCTACCCTCTGTTTGCAGGTGAATATCTAGAAATCTCCATAGGGCATCATCTTCCAAGCGTTCAGCCATTCCATTTCTAGCAGCTTCTTTGATGCATAGTATGAGATTCGAGACCGATATTGGGAGCAGACACGTCTGATTCCTGAGCTACGTCGCAGACTTGGAAAAAACCATGCAGGGCTTGTGACAGCTGGTGAGTGTCCAATCTTTTGCACATGCCAACACTCCTAGCGCAGGTCAACATGCATCACCAGTCCGATCAATGGATGTCAAGATGGATGAACTTCCCCCTTGCGAATCTATGTCCCCACATATGCTGGTGTCCTGAAATAGGGGTACCCCCAAATCATCCATTTGTAGATGGGATTTTCTCATATTTTTTCCATGAAACCAACCACCCATTTTGGATACCCCATTTATGGAAACCCCATATGAAGTTACTAAACTCCCCATCCAAGGGTTGACCCAGCAAACTTCCGCCTTCGCCTTGGGTAAGCGTGGCCCAGTGCCAAAGCTACACCTGGGATGGTAAACTGAGTACGTTCCCCACGTGTATGGAATATCGTCACTATACATATGATCCCATATGATTACACATGTATTTTTATTATCATTATCATCATTATTATTATTAATATTAATATTATTGCTGTGTGTGTAAGTTATATGAAGAGCTTCTTGAACACTGACTGAGATACTCCAAGTATGAAGCGGGGCAACTGGGGAGTTGCCAGTCTCCAAAGTGTTTTCGGGGTGTGTGCCCAAAACTGGGGGGGTGGGCCTCATCAAATTGACAGTTAATCTGGAAAATGTGATGATGAGCCTGGAATTTTTTGGGCTACTTCTGTTTCAGACAAAGCCACATGCTGGTATTTCATTTAAAGAAAAAATACGGATTCCAGGGTAGAACATGAAGATGGACGTTCACTGTTCATCCCTCAAATGGGGGTATCATTGGTCTGACCCTGTTGGACCCAGCCGTGCTCATGTGTCATTCCCAGTTTCTTCATCCTACAAGATTGGGGCTCTGATGAACCTACAATCCTCCAATTTCATCATGTTTCTTTTTTCCCAAACCATCGCTGTTTCATCCGTTTTCCATGTTTTTTTTCCATCGTTTTTTCCCAGTTTTCCCATGATTTTCTCCATCCCCCAGGTCCTTTCGGCCCCTAATGGGCCCCCAACGGTCCCCCTTTTGGGTCCCCTCCCGGGACTCCAACAAAGGGCCCCGCACGTGCGACCCGACTGGTTGGGCATGAAGGGGGTATAGGCCCCAGGCCCAGGTGCACCACCTCGTGGGGGTTACAGTGGTTAAATGTGGTTAAACCATCAACCAAAAAAAAATACCCAAACAGCTAATGAGGTTAGAGAAAGAGAAATTCACTCGGATTTCAACTTCGAGTTGTTGGACAGTTGATTTGATTTGAATTCATGTCAACTGAATATAGTTCTATCTATTCTCTGATGTGTGTTTTCCATGTTAAGCTTTGCATTTGAAACCGTCACTGCTGTTGGGTTGCAAAGCTGGGTTAATGTGGTAAAGCCCATGTTATTAACCAACCCATTCATCAACCATTTGGAGGCCATTATAAAGGTATTCCCAGCAATAAACCTCTATTGACTCTACTAATCTATTATTGGGTCTACCACATTGGAGTTATCCTCACCAACTTGGCTATCGTTTGGGGTCCCACCTTGTTCAACTAGGGATGTTTGTCTTGAATATCTGGCCGGTCTGGCTGAATTTTGTGACATCAAAATCCACCAACCAGAAATGTCTGGCTATTTGGGGACGATGCCTACGACTACAAACCATCCTTCCAGTGACATCGTGGTCAGGTCATTACAATTCTGGATGCTGGATCAGTGGATCCTTGGGTCCTTGGCAGGACAAACCTGAACTGATGAATGATTTCTGTCACTGATTTTGGAAAGCGTTTTTCTGTTGGTGCCAAAGACAGCCACCATTCCCATTCTGGGAAAGATCTGTTCGATTGTCTCTGTTTGGTGGTATTGCTGGCTTACAGTAAATGTATTGGTTCTCCCCCCTTTTCTGCTGGCCAAAATCCACATGTTTGTTGCGGAACATGCGCCTGTCCTGTTGCCCAACTCCCTCTTGTTTCACTGCTAAAAGTTCCCCGCTTGTCAGTTGCCATCCGCCCCAGTTTTGCGGAAAAAAAACTCGCTGTTTTTGGCTAGCTGCTACCACACCTATGGGTGTAAATCCACCATGGCTGGCGACAAACCCAAACACATGCTGGTTAGTATATGAATATCCCCACAACATGTATGTATATGATTGTATATCTATATGTACATTTGTGATGCGGCTTACAGGCAACTTCTATAAAATGATGAAAACATAAAATGAACTATATATTAACAAAAAACACAACGTAATACAAACCAATTTTTTAAGGCAAAACAAAAAAAACAATCAGAACAGCTCAAAAGCGAAACAAAAAGCAAAAAAACGCAAAACCAAAAGCAAAAAAAAAAAGCAAACCCAAAATACATTTATATGCGGCTGTTTTTTTCGCTTTTTTTTGTTTGTTTTTTTCCTCGAGTGTTTTACATTTTCGAAGGTCCGCGTCATCAGGTCACCTGCGAAAGAAAAAAACGGAAAAAGAAACGGAAAAAAAAGCGAAACAAACAGAAGAAAAAAACAACCGCATATAAATGTATATCCAGGTTGCTTTTTTTTGCTGTTGGTTTTGTTTTTTTTGCTTTTTCAAAATAGTTGTTTGGTTTGTTTTTGCTTTTGTTTTTCCTTTTCTTCAGACAGTGTTTTTTTTTCGCATTAGTTTTCGCTTTTTGTTATTGTTTTTTGAATCCTTAGAAGTTGGCTTAAGGCATTTCACAAATGTACATGTGTATATATAGATATATATATATACACACATTATATATAGCCAGAAAAGCCGTGAAAGCTGCAGAATTACTATGACTATGACCATATCTTCACCCAGTTCTGCTTCAAAAATCCACACGGATTCCATCGGATTGGGAAAATCGGCCGGTTTCCGCCAAAGACACCACTCCACTTCTTGTTCATCAGCCTGGATGAGGCTCCAAACGACACATCCAGTGTCCTGGAAAGCGATTTTGGTCGCTGAATTGGGTACCATGAAAAAGGGTCCCAAAAAGATAGAGAAGTAAAACCCCCCCGAATCGCGAGTGATAAATCACTTTTATATCTTTTTGAGATCTGTTTGAGGGTTAATGTAATCGCCAATGACATCATTGAAAAATAATAAACCAGGGTGAATAAACCAAAAAACGGAGATGATGTGTTGTGGGAAAATACTGAGGCGAGAAGCATGTTATAAACCATTGAGATCTTTGAGATTCTTGGGGCCCCATTTTGTGCAAACCTATGATGATCAACGAAGATCGATTAGGGCTTGAGCCACCAATCGCAAAGGGAGTGCCAGAAATAAGACCTTCTTTCTGATCATAACGAGAAATGATTAACCCACCCATTTTGGGGGATAACCCACCAGTACAGCATATAAACAAATCCCGTGCTAAATATAGGTTCTGCAGCGGTATGTATTTGGAGGATTTTGGAGGGGGGATTGATTTAAGTTCAGGCAAAAGTCAACAAAAAAAAGGGGAGATTGACCAACATCCAACGTTGATATACATGGGGCATTATATGTGTAAGCAGCAAACATATATGGGGTATTGACCGACAAAGATCTGTTGATTGTGATATCAGGGTAAATAGGAATTAGCATCTCACGCTGGGGTCGCGGGCCAATATTTGTAATCACCGACCAGAATTAGGGTCTGGTGCCGCCCAAACAAGTTGAAATTTGGACAAAAAAAGAAGTATTCTGGAAATCCAGTTCGAATCTGTTCAAACTTTGGGATATTCAGAAATACCAAAATTTTCTGGACATCGATTTTGAGCTAGAGTATTTTGGGATATTTGGGCTGCAATTTCTACATCTTCGTAACATACGTCTCATCTCAGCGCCCTAAAACCACTGTCACAGTGCCGTGCCTTCGGTACTTGACTTCACAACTGGGAACACCATACCTCGGTCGGAAAGGGTCTGGCTGCATTTTATCATAATTCACTAACATATACCCTCTGGTAAACTAACATAGCTATTGAAAATGACCATTTATAGTGGATGTTCCCATTGAAAATGGTGATTTTCCATTGTTATGTTAGTTTACCACAGGGTATACAGTAATGATAATGACAATGGGAGTATAATGAAGGACTTATGAAAAATGTGGGTACCATGAAATATAGATATAAAAAAGGGCCCAATAATGGTGGTATGATACATCTGGGGAACTTCATCATAGTTTCACCCAGCCTAAAATGATTCGCACTTTGGGTTCATCCCGATAGGTTTTGACCGGCCATGGAATGTTGGAGATGAAGATGAAAATTCAGATGCACAGGTGTTT